CTGGCAACAGCTCTGTTCTTTTTTCCTCAATTTTCCCACTTTTTTCTGGGGATATTTTCCATGGACGGACTTATTTTATTTTACAATATCTGTTTTTTTTTTTCTGTATGCCTAAACTTTTTTTTTTTTGTCAACAGAAAAAATGATACTTTTTCCACTTTGGAAGTGGGACCCAGTAAATCGGGTCCAACCGAATAAGCTATCAGTCGACCCGGAAAGAAAGAGTGGAGATGAGGAACCCCACAATCCGAAATACTTGGACGCGGTTTTATGGACGTTGACTGGGTCCTGCAATTACTCTTCGTCCTTTGCCTGCCAACGTGCGTGCGTGCGTGCCTGCTTGTAAGTTGCCATTATGCAACAATAATTGTTAATTGGCGAAATACCTAGACAGCCATTCGTGGCAATGTTTATAATCTAAAATTCGGAAAAGTTGAAGCAACTAAATCTATAATTGAGTGCTAAAAGCAACAGATTCAATCCAAAAAAAAAACCTAAACTGTTGTGATAAAATATAGAATAAAACGATGAATTGTAAAGAAAGAAGAGAAAGATATATTATTTGATGGCCGCTCGGAGCTTGAATATTTGGAGTCGGGTTACAGAGAGATTGTAAAATTGCTTAAGGTGAAAATAATAGTATTTCAAGTGATAACAGTGATTTTAGAGATTATAGATTGTCTTTACAAATGAATAAGTGCTAGCTTTTATAGTGGAGATGCTAGGTTGTCGTTTCCTTGAGTCATGTTGTCGTTACACTCATTTATTTTGGCCATCTAAATAATTTGTGACGTTGCTTTTGACATGTCCCGTCTAAAAAGGGATACGCGCGTCTGGGATCCATTGTGTCACTACCGAGCACAAGGCAACCTCCATTATGTTGTTCATTCTACATGAATGCATTTGCTAAGCAACAACAATAATATGCCCAGTATATTCTCACAAGTGGGATCTGAGGAGGGTAGTGTGTATGCCGATCTTACCCCTACCTAGTGAAGGTAAAAGGTTATTTTCAATAGACACTCGGCTCAAAAAGGCAGGGAGAAAAAGGAAAGAAAGAGAGAGAAGAAAGGGAGAGGGAGAAAAGAATAAGTAGTACCAAATAGTAACAACAGAAAAATACGATAACTGAAACGAACTAAGCAACATGACGAATACCAATCTGAGAAGAAGAAAGTGCATGTCTGCTACTAACCCTTAACTACCTACTAATCTTCTACCCTAATCCTCGATCTCCACACCCTCCTATCAAGGGTCATGTCCTATAACCTGAAGTCGTGTCATGTCCTGCTTAATCACCTCTCCCCAGTATTATTTTGGTCTGCCTCGACCTCTTCTCAAACATGTCATGGCCAACCTCTCACACCTCCTAACGGGAGCTTCAATGCTTCTCCATGATGCATATGCTAAGCAAACATTCATAAATTAATTAGGGTATTCTTTCCTTTATGTAAATTCAAAGAAAAATCAAAGTAAAACTAATTCTGATATATTATAATAAAATAAAAATATCATGTTTTAAAAAAAATTGAATGTGAAAACTATTTATCTAAACCCACATGACTATCTAGGAGCCTCTAGCTATATAAGCGACTTAAGAGATGGCAAGAGACAAGTCCCCAACTCATCAACTCATAATTTAAAACAAAGGAAATAAATGACTCAATAACGCCTTGTAGAAGTAAACAAGGCATACCAAAACTGAAAGTGTCTGAAAAGCTGTAAGGACTTGCTTGCTCTTTAACGCCTATATTGTCAATAATGTCTCACATAACAAAGAAAAAGAGTATGCTTAGAGCATAGTGGCACTCAGTATGCGTCATCACCTAAACTCGAGGTGGTGCTTGGCTTTGAAAATAATATGCAATGCAATAAAATAATCTTTGAAATATCAATGCGATAATATATAGTATACTAATATTATAAAAGTAAATATTATTACTAACATGTCGTGTCCTTTAATTCTAGGGAGTAGCTAGATCCACTTCTGGTCTATCCCACGTCTGGCGACAAATACAAATAATATCACAATCTCATCAATGGTTATCTACGTGGATCTAAAGGTTTCGAGGTGGAATGCGTGTCCATGGCACTAGCCTCACCTCTCTCAATGACTCGTAGCTCCCCAAAATATTTACTCACAATCATAACATATTTTATTCTGTAATTTTCCAAGGCATAAGCCAATACAAGTCACATGATAACATTTCTTGAAAGGTTTCATATTCGATTTTCGAAATAATTGTCACATACTTTGTAACACATTTGAGTAAAACTCTTTCATGCCATGAATGCAAGACTTGGAACATATTAACAGTGGTATTATAAGAGTTTCTAAGTTATATTCTTCAATTAGCAATGGAGATCTCATGAGAGCTTGTAAGATCTTTTTTAAACATTTAAAACTTTAAGTCGGGGCTTTGAAAGCCCAATAGAGAAGGTCGGCTCAGCATACCTTGAGCTTTTCCTACAAACTTCATTTAAAAGCTTGACAATCGCTATTGCAATCCTTAAGTAACTCTTTATAACCAAAAAAAAAAATTATATTTTTAAGTCAAATTCTATAAATTGGTTACTTAGGTTTTGGTTTATAGGGTTGAATTGGGTGTTTGGATTAATTATACATTTCTATACTCCTCAATGAAACACTAATCAATCATCAATTTTATTTAAAACCAATCTACAAACACTAGGGTTTATCCTTTTTTTAATTTATCTTGAATTCTAGGGTTTATGATGAATCTAGGGATTGAATGATATCTAATCTTGTTAGAATTGACTAGAACTGATGTAGGAACTTACCTTTCTAAAGCCCTTGATGACCCTTGATGTAATTGACTCAAAACCCTTGTTGTATCTCTTAAAACAAAGTGGGAGAAATAAATTTCAAAATTATCATATGTACTAGTGAATTGGTATTAAAAATTTTAATAAATTTATAAAGTGATCAGTTTGTTTCTCTGTTACTATTCGAGAAGTTAATAAAGTACGTCAGTTTTTAGTTTTCATGCATCTATTAAGTATATAAACATATTTAAAAAAGAAAAAGAATCTAAAATGAAAATTTAATGTGTTAGCTGCGGTACTTGAATCCCAACACCGATTTTGGGATGTAGAAATAAAAATCGTTAGATAGGTATTTTGATCCTGATTTCATAATTAAAAAGCTACTCCATCCGGTTTGAAATAAATGTCTTATTAGCTTTTCTAATTTGGTACTTTACAAATCAAAGGAAAGAAGAATGGCATCTAACTTCGTACTTTGAAAAACAAAGGAAAGAAGAAGTGTCATGGCAATCGAACTTCCATCTCTTTTCGTTTATTTTCATCTCCTTTTTTTCCTTGATATTTTTATCATTTTCTTTTGTACTTGTCCCTTTTTATTTAAAACATCTTTTCTTTTCACCAAAAGATAATAAGAAAGAAAAAAGATGTCATACAGTCTCTTCGTATTCTGTTGACATTCTATTTACATTCTTTAGGCAAAATAAAAACATGACAACTAAAATGAATTGGACGGAGTGTTAAGAAATGTCTCTGAGTTAAATATGCCACAGCTCATGTAAATCAACATATGTGAACATGAATTAAAAACATAAAATTAGAAAGAAAAAATAAAAAGTAAAGAGGAGAAAAAATGCTAATGTAAAAATTAGGGATATAAACTTGAAATGTCACCCTCTTTTTTCTTCCTCTAACGCCTTTTTCTCTAAGGCATTTAGTTTTTTGTTTCCTTGTAATTAATATGAATTGTTGACAGTTATGACATCTTTTTGTATTTTCTATCCCATTATTTTCCTCGTATTCCAATCCCGGCAGCCCAAAACTCATCTCTTTTCCTAAAACCAAATAATAGGGAAAAAGGGTAAGATATATCCTTGTACTATTAAAAATTGTCCACATATGTCCTCCGTTATACTATTGGTCTAAATCTACCCCTTCCGTTAGCAAAGTAATCAAAAATATCCTTATTTTTAATGGTGCTCCACCATAGCAATCCAAATTCTACATGGTCTGGCATTTGGGTAAGGTGGATGTCAAGTGGCATGCCACCTCACCATCTTCCCCTTCCATTTCTTCTTCCCCTCATACCTTGAAATGGAGGTTCCAAATTCATTTTCTGTTAAATTTGGACAAAATTACTGCTAATCTCTGAATCTAACACGAATAAATGATTTCCAAAAGACTTAAAGAACAAATCTCAAAACCCAATGACAAAATTATCTGAAGCTTTTTCCTTGTGAGAGGAGAACGATACAAGTTTGGAGAATCAAATTTGCTTAATACTTATTTATACCTGAAGCTTGTTAACACATGTATTCCTTGGCCGAGTTAAATCATAGAAGTAAACATTTGCATCTTCACTTCCAGCAACTTCAATTGTTAGAAGATATAAGTCTTTTTTGCTATCTTGCATGTTTTGTT